ATATTAATAATAATAATAATGATAATAATAATTAGAATAGCCACGCTCAACAACAAACGTTATGCGCTTAACAAGCTATATTATTATTACCCCATCAGACCCTAGAACATTCTCGATTTCCTGGGGAGAATTTAGTGTCTTTTAGTTTTATCTTATCTTATCTATTTCATTTTTTCTTATTTCATCTTTTCTTGTTTCACCGTATCTTATGTCATGGTATCTCGTTTCATCTTATCTAATTTCATGTTATCTCACTTCATGTTATCTTGTTTCACCTTATCTTATTTCATGTTATCCTGTTCCATCTAATCTTATTTCGTGTCATCTTATTTCATTTATCTTTTTTCATATTATCTTGTTTCATGTTATCCTGTTCCGTCTAATCTTATTTCGTGTCATCTTATTTCATTTTATCTTTTTTCATGTTATCTTGTTGTCTTGTTTTATCTTATCTAAGTGTTTCGTGTCTGGTCTGTCTTACGTTGGGAAGGTAGGTGTAGTGAGGCGGCAGTTTTTTCTGGGCCTCAGCAAGGTCCGCCTCCAGCATGGCGTTATAGATCATGGTGGTGATGTCACACACTCGTACAAAGTCCTTGTCCACCACTTGACCGGTGTCCGGGTCTGTCAGGTTGTCACTGATGATCCTGGACAGATAAGATAAGATAAGATAAGATAAGATAAGATAAGATGAGATAAGATGAGATAAGATGAGATAAGATGAGATAAGATGAGATAAGATGAGATGAGATAAGATAAGATAAGATAAGACAGATAATATAAGACAAGATAACATAACATAACATAACATAACATAACATAACATAACATAACATAACATAATATAACATAACATAAGAAAAGATCAACGCTTTTGATTTTCTTCCGGAATCAAGGACTTGGCAGATGTGGGATGGTCAGGGCAACTCTCTGATGAAACAATAATGATAATAATAACAATGATGATGAGATAAGAATAGTTTTAATTTTCTAATCAGTTGATGATGATGGATCTATACAATTTTGTAAAAGTTTAGCCAAACTTCTCTCTAGGGTTAAGTGAGAGACGTGCAATAATAATGAAAATAATAAATAGCATTTATACTGTGCATTTCCATTTTCTAAAAATGCTCAATGCACATTACAACGAAAAAGACATCACATCTTAAAAATCAATCGACAAGTGCGTTCGTAAAACAACGTATTATACATATAATATAAATGCATATGTGTAAAATGTTACATGAGAAAAATAGTTGTACTTACAGCAGATCGGTCTTAAGCCCACACAAGACAGTAGCAAATGTCCTCTGTTGTCGGTACAGCTCCTGCTCCAAGAAAATCACGTCCTGAGGAGAAAGAGTTGTCACTGTGAAATAGTCGCTGTCCGACTCGAACCGTGTATGTGTCACATTCAAAACTCTATGAACATCACAGCGGCTGTTGCTGCGGCAAACCTAAGCTTATCACAACAGGGAAGTCGACACAAGGGCGAGAGTTCAGCTTCTGATGAATCGATAATGGCGATATAACAACAACTACAACATTAACAACAACAACAACAACAACAACCACAACAACAACAGTATTAACAACAACAACAACATTAAGAACAATAACAATAACAACAACAACAACAACAACAACAACAACCACAACAAAACAACAACAGCAACAACAACAACTAAAACATCATCACCACCCATCATCATCATCATCATCAT